AATATTTTTGGTTGGTGGTGTGCCTTGTGATTTTTTTCACTGAAAAAAGTGTACCGTGGCTGAAAAAAGGTTGAAAAACACTGATCTAGACTACTTAACTAACACTATGGCAACTGTGTGCGTGGTAAGTTTTAGCATTGTAATGCAGACCCACAGTAAATATGACCTTCATTAAGTTTAAAGTAGCCTAGTCTAAATTTAATTTAATGCAAGAACACTGAAAATACATTCACACTTAGGCACATACATGTGACCATGTATGTGGTCACATGCTCGGTAATATCACAGAAGTCAACCACCTACCAATTAAATATAAAAACCCACTTCTTATTTCTCTAACTATCACCAAGTAAACAATCCTTCTAAACTGGAAATCAAAAAATTCATTACACAAGTTTTTAGTTTCATTAGTTTTTGGTTTTCTCAACTTTTGACTATTTTTGTTGACTTTACTAAGGTTTACAAGGTTAGACAACTTGAATCTTCGTCTTCACCTAAATATATTTCTGAAGCTACAAATTCTTGTTTCAGTGCGGTGCATTTCTACTTTCAACAAGCACAGATATTCTTCCTGAATAAACACACAATTCTTGCTTCATTCAGATAAATGTTTTCCTTTATAAATAATATCTGCTCTCAAGCACAACATATACACTAACTTTCAGTTGTGTGGTCTTTATTTGTGTTTAATTGGACATTTCTTACATGATCACATGATCATTCTAAGGACAATTTAGCCAACTATGAATTCCCAGAATGCACCTCGTGTCAGATCAATATACACTCAGACATGTTAACAAATACTAAAATAAAACTGATGTAACCTTAACTTACCACCCATGTTGTTAATGGAGAAATCAGTGAAGAGTGAATATCGTCTGGATCTCAGGCAGCCACGCTGTGAATCTTCTCTCTGCTGTTATTCTACTGTACTTTTACTTTCACCTGCTGGGGTGGGAGGACTACGTTTGTGTGTGTGTGTGTGTGCTGTCAGAAAAGAAACGACATGAGACTGCCATCAAGTCTTCAAACATGAGCCATCTTCTCCAAGCATGACACAATAGTGCTCATGCTTAAATGTACAGAAAGAGGAAAAGGAGCAACATAAGGTGTTAGACTGTATAATTTAATGTGCTTCAAGGAAAAGTGTGAACAGAGACAAAACACGAGGAAATATAGTGCAGTAATATCACTGTAGAATTAAACAAAAATCACACAAAAGTTAGATTCTTTGCTCGTATCTGTTACATGGAGCTGATGGAGCTTTTTATCCATATTAGCAGTAAAACTCTAAGCCGACAAACATCTCATTATAAGATGCATATACAGCACAATATGTACAGAAATGTTTATCTGAACAAGTATAGGACCACCACCAAAAAAACAGAGACTGGTGGCAACTCTTCTGTTTTGAAATGTTTGTAAGTATGAGAGAAAATGTAGTTTATACATGTGGTAGCAAAACCTATGTGTATCACCTGTGGAGTCTCAGTTAGTCAAAGTGAATTAACTGCCAGAGTGTATGTGAATATGTTTCCTCTATCTAACCACTTCCTGTCTCACTGCACAATGTATGAAGTGCAAAAAAGTCTGATGGGAGTGTTCTCATACCTGTACACATCTAGTTTATTTTGTCATGATTGTTTCACTCTTTATAAATCATGTCAGATATTTGATATCTGGTGCAAAGATGGAGCAAATCAGCAACTTCAGGGCAAAATTAAAGCAGCACAGATGTGTTTACCTGATGGAATAGAAATTAACTACAAAGTACAGGGTACTTTATACTCATTTTCTTAAAGAGGTGGAACAGTATAAAAACTAAACTAAATATACCTTTTAAGGGGAAGTTTGGTGAGGGAACAAATAGGCCAATGTGCCAGCCTGAACACAACTGTATTTATTTGTGATCAGCTTATGTGTTTGTCGGGGGCAGTGCACATTAAGAAGTGTTAAGTAAAATTTACCCCCAACCAAAGTGTTTTCACAATTTCCAACCTAAAATCATTAAAACCAGAGATAATAAATTCATTTAACATTACCGTATATAATTCATTTAACAGAGATATATCTATGTGTGTGTGTATGAGAGAGTGATAAAGGAAGAAACCAAACACAATATGAAACTAATTTTTGTTCCTTATTTTAATTAACTGACAAGTTGTTCATAGCAGAAGACAAAACTCAGCAGCAGTGAACCTTCCCTTCTAAAATGTTATTGCCCAACGTTTACGTGTACAGTATACTACATATGTTTTACAGTAATGCATATGCCACAGTTATTAAAAGAAACAGTAACTTTGATATAAAATGTTTTTAATTATCATGATACATCATTAACATTTGTCTAACCCACAAGAAACTGCTGGTATTTTTGCCAGAACGTCACAGGGCCCTGGGCTGTGGGCAGTACAAGCAGTACACAACAAGTCAAACAATCATTTGAGGATCAGTTTTTGAAAAAGGCAAAAAGGTTTTAATGCTTAAATTTTGTTAGTAGAAGCAATAATTTTTATATTTGACTTTTTGTTCTTGTTTTTTGTAAATATACAGTATTAATGTATGAATAAACATAATTCACCCAATGATTAAAGTTTTGAATCAGACTTTCACACAGTTAGCTGTGACTCTTTAATGATACCTTCTCTCCCTGTTCTACAAGAGTCACTGGTCAGTAGGTTTTAAACTAGCTGAAAAATGACCATATAGTTTTTATATAACCTTTTATTGTTTGTAGAACATGTTGGGCTTCATCTTTGACAGCCTGTCTTTACTGCTTCCCATGGTGTGGCTGCACCGTCTGCTGCATGATATCCTTTATAAGCACCCTTAACTGCTCCTACTAAAGAAACTACCAGTGTAAATGTGGCTGCTGCTGTTTCAGCTGCTGTTCCTGCTCCTGCTGCTGTTCCAGCTGCTGTTTTTGCTGCTGCTGCTCTTCCAGCTGCCACACCTACACGTCTTAGTAAAGATCCTATTGTTGATACAGCTTCTTTAAAATATGGTACCTTTCCAGAATGCTTCCAGATTAAATCAATATCTTTAGCAGAGTCTACTACACCAAACACAGCCCCCACCAATGCACCTGTTGCTGTACCTGCCACTTTGATCAAAAAGTAATTAAACCCACTGACTTTAGCCTGCTCTCCGATCTCTCCCTGTGTCATGGTTGGTGATGACTGTCTGATGATCTCCTCTTCTTGCTGTATTAGTTCCTCCACTGCTTTCAGCGTCTCTTTTGTGTAAAACTTCTGTTGTTTTCCACCACCAGTTGATTGTGTTGAGTAGCTCTGCCACCTGGACCTTGTTGCTCCTGTATTCGCCCTGTGGTTTGTCCTTCCAGTATCAATGATGTGGCACCAATTTCTGCACTTCTTCACCAGGTCACTCAGATCTTTAATCCTCATCCCTTCAGGGAGCTGTTCTCCATGAGTGAAGACAAATACAACAGAGTTCAAGGCTTTGTGAACTGATCATGGAAACAGTTATTCACTATGTTATAATATTTGCTGGTTTGAATAGTTTTTACCAGAAGAATGAATGAATGAATATAAATGTGAATGTACTGCTGTGCCAACAAGAAAGCTGAGACCTTGCAAAGGGGTTTTGTATAAAAGAAACTAGTTTCACAGAGACACCTCTATTCTGATGGAAAATGTCAGTTGTCAAAAAATGGGAGCGACTGTGATTCAGTGGGTAGAGCAGTCGTCTCCCAACCTGCAGTCCATGTGCCAGGTGTCCTTGAGCAAGACACTGAACCCCCAAGTTGCTCCTGATGGTTAGAGCCATCAGTGTGTGTTGGTGCCGCAGATGGCTGCTTCTGTTCTGGACCGGAAACAAATTCCTTGTGTGTGTGACATGCTTGGCCAAATAAAGGTGATTCTTCTTCTTTTTCTTATTGTTAATATTAATTATTACACTGAATAATATTGGTCTGAATGTGCTGTATGTGTTGTTAACTTTATATTCCAGGAAGTGAAACAGGCAATAATATATCCATGGTTTCATTTTACTGAACTTGTGATTATAACGTAGATTGTCACTTATCAAGTACATTGCTCATCTAGTTTAGATAGTGTAGCTGTTGGTTTGCAGGAACTGCTGCGACAAAATGTAAAAACATGTCGCCAGTGATTTTTATATGTTCTTACTTACGCATATTAAATATGATATAAACGAAAACATCTACCTTTGTCAGCATGGCCCTGTGATAACTCAAAATTTTGACATGATGGCAACAGGCACAAAATAATCATATTACATGTATCTTTAATAAAGTACAACATCAGGGTTTTGAACCAGGAAATAGGAAGAAATGTTGCACTGTAAATGTCAAGATTTTGACGTTACGTTTTTGTTTCACCACAGTTTCGGTCTTTTTACGTTACCCACCCCACTAACCTGCCAGATTGTTCTAGACTCTACCTCTGACTCTCCAGCATTAATCCTTGCCTGACTCTGTAGTTTCTGACCCTGGATTGCTGTTTTTGACCACCATGTATTGCCTTGCCCTTCTAACTCGGACTGCTTTTCTGTATATCGGCTTATCAGACTTCCCTTTTTGACAACGTGTTTTGGATTCTTTGGATGTATGTGTTTGCTGGTTCTGACCCTGGACTGTGTTATCGACCCGTAAGTGCATTTCGTGTTTAAACTATGTCTTGTATCGTGTTTTCTTCAGTGTCAGTGCTCTTATTAAAGAGACTGTTTTACGAATCCTCGTCTGGCAATTGAATTGAGTTCACCCACAACATTATCAGCAGCTTCACGCTCCGATCCTGACTGTAAACTCTTTGTTCTCCTGTTTAGATGCAACATATGAATGAAGAGAAGAGGAAGTTATGCAAAAAAACACTGCAACAAATTTATCACAGTTTTGTTTTTATATATTTTGATATATTTTTGTTTGCCAAACTAAATAATTACTCAAAATGGCTAAAAGAAGTAAATGTAACTCACCATTCATTGTGGCAAAAAAAGAAATCAATAGTGTGTGAAGTTACTCAGACTGTGTGTCTTCACTCTGTGGCTCCTGTCCTGCTTGACTTTGGTTTTGAAGAAGCCACATGGTAGGAGTGGCAGCAGACTTTCGACTTAACTGTTTAATGTGCGACCCATTCCAAGACTAAATAAAACTGCAGGCCCAAATCTATCACTGACAAAAGGAACCCACAGCAAACAAACTAACGCAATAATTAATCACAAACACTACACATCTGGATTATGTGAAATGAGCAAAGAAACATTGAAGTGAAACAAACACAGAACATAGGGGCTACTTTCCAAAACTGCATTAAAGTCACAACTAAGAATACACAAACACTAATACAATCACAAATATAATTCAAATACATTCAGTGATTGTCAGAAAGTCCAAGTAGTGTTGAACTGTAACTGCATCCAGAATGAGTTTACTGTCATTTGAGAAACTGCAGCTCCTCACTGCTGGAGGAAAACTGTACTGGATCAGGATCTCGTGGGACAGAGAACCGGTTACATACAAGGTCACAGTGAAGATGATTCTGACAGCTCAGAGTTTCTAATTTAAACAGTCACAACTGATGAACCTATAAGCAAGAGTCTGAAAAGTGTAAAGTCTCCAAGTTCAAGCTGTGGTATAGTTATTTTAGTTTTGTAAACTTGTGTGCTGCTGTCTTGCCAGGGCCCCTTGAGAAATAGAATTTAAACCACAAAGGGACTTACTCTGATAAAATAAAGGTTAAAGCAGAAAGCAAAATCAGTCATTAAAGAGAGACATTGTCTAATTTGTATGAGTAAAAAAAGATAGCAAATATTTCAAGCTTAACTTTGAACATCTACTTGATGCCTTTGGTCCTTTAGGTCAATCAGCTCTTGGACACAACACAGTGTTAACCCACAGCCATCCAGTTCTAACAGAGCCACAAGCTTTCTCTGAGTGTATGCAATATATCTTGGTTTTAATCCTTAGTTATTAATAAATTATTGTAATGCGCTATATTTTGGGCTCAGTCAGGTCGCCCTTGCCCGCCTTCAGAGAGTCCAAAATGCTGCTGCTCGTCTACTGGTTGGAGGGCACAAAAGGGACCATATCACACCCATTTTGGCTTCTCTACATTGGCTGCCGGTGTGTTTTAGAATTCATTTTAAGATTCTTTTATTTGTTTTTAAGTCTTTAAATGGTCTGGCCCCCCTTTATCTTACAGAATTGCTGCATCCCTATAGCCCCTCTCGGTGCCTCAGATCAGCTGCTCCTGGAGACACCGAGGGCTAGGAGGAGACTTAGGGGGGACAGAGCATTCTCTGTGGGGGCTCCTAAGTTGTGGAATGCATTGCCCCTTTACATTAGGCAGGCCCCCTGGTTGTCCACTTTTAAAACTTATTTGAAGACTCATCTGTACCGTTTGGCATTCGAACCAGTATGAGCCTCTGTCTTGTTGAGCTTTTTTGTTTTATGATGGGTGGTTGTTTTAGTGTGATCCTGTTTTACTGTTGTGTTTATTGCTTCTGCTTGTCTTATTGTGTTTTAACGGGTTTTAGTGATATTGTGTTAAGCACTTTGGTCAGCTTCGGCTGTGTTAAACGTGCTATATAAATAAAGTTGATGATGATGATGAATAAATGTATTTAGCTGATGATTCTGAAAATCGAATAATAATGCTCACTCGACAATGTATTTGTTTAAAAATATGAAACAGCAAACGAGAGCTCTACTCTGTAGCAATGTTGTTGACTGCATTTTTTATTTCTGTGATTTGGTTCATGGTTTTATGAGGAAAGAGACACCAGCAAGAACTCTTAATAACAACCGTTTTTATTATTGTTTAACAATATTTTATTAGAAATCATCTAGCATTTTTAATTTTCACAAAAAGCTGAAGCACAGTTAGATTCACATACATCTTTATAAGACACGCCTTACAAAAAGGGATATCAGAAATTTTCTGGATGAATATTTTAACATTTCAGAAACAGGAAATCTGAAGGAAAGTTTTCTGTGGTTTAACATTTAAAGAGCTTCCGTCAATACCCCCTATATAAGAACCTCTAGACCAAATGCTATTGGATGCCAAATGTTTGCCTGTCTGCTGTTGTGTTATTAACTGCCAGGTAAACAGCAGAAGGATATTGTTCACAATGTGCACATGAAAAACAACAACATACCTCTGTCTTTTTTTTCTGCACACCTCAATTTCTCTCCAAGATTTGCACATAACTAACTAAAGCCTTTTAATAGGTATTAGAATCAAACTAGCAAATATACTATAGTTCCCATAAACTGGCAACCCTGGCTGTCATTGGATTTAAAGTAATTTTTGCTGTAGATGAGCCCTCTGAGAGATCTTTAAAACACTATAATCATCATTTGGTTCAGAATCAGAAGTGTTATATCAGTTCAAGTGTTATTCAGAAGTGGAACTTGCTCCTTACATTGCTCTTTATTTTCGTTTAGCAGTTCTTTAAGTGGTTGCAGAGTTTTGTGCCAAACAGCTTTCGCTGTTTTTTGTGCTGCCTCCATTGCTGAGTCTGCTTGTTCAGCTTCTTGATATCCTATACAACCTCCTACTGCTGCTCCCGCTAAAGTACAGACACCTGCAGCTACACCAAGTCCAATACCTGTTGCTGCTCCTGCTCCTACTCCTCCTACTCCTGCTGCTTTTCCCATGCAGTCCACGACTTCTGCTACTACTGATGCTGCTGTGCTCAGTGCAGAAACAACTGAAGCAACCATAAATGGCACACCAAGTAAAGCTCCCAACAACACTCCTGTGGTAATACCAGCTGCCTTAATGAGGAAATTTGAGACATTGGTCTTTGCCTGCTCTCTGATCTCTTCCTGTGACATATTTCCCGATGACTGTCGAATGCGCTCTTCCTCTTGCATTTTTATTCTCTGCACTTCTTGGAGCATCTCATTGGTGTAGAAAAGCCCGTTGTTTTCCTCCACCAGCTTTGTTATTGTCTCAAATAGCTTCTCCACCTGGACTTGGTTGTTCCTGTATTCATCCTGCTGGTTGTTCTTCCAGTATTTATTATCAATGACATGGTATCGGTTACCACATTTCTCCATGAGGTCATGCAGATCTTTGTTCTCTTGGACAAACTTCTCGATTTTGGTTCCTTCAGGGAGCTGGTCACCGTGAGTGAAGACAACTACTGCATATTTGAAAGCTTCCTCAGAAAAGCAGGCTTCTATTTGGTCAATAACCTCTTTCTCCTGCTTTGTGAATTTCTCCACTTTAAGTAAAATGAGAAAAGCATGAGGCCCAGGAGCGCACTCGGTGATACATCTGGCTATCTCAGACTTCAGGACATCTTCAGAGGTTTGTGGGCCAACGACACCAGGAGTGTCATCTTCAGAGGCATGTGGGCCAAAGAAACCAGGAGTGTCGATCAAACAGGTGCTTCTTCCATTTATTTGTTTGGTTTTTGTCTGGCATTTCCTTGTCCCAGGGTTTGCGGTAGAGTTTACCTCAAACACATCTTCATTAAAAATGGTGTTGGCCAGACTGCTTTTCCCAGATCCAGTTTTTCCCAACAAGACAATCCTTATGTCTGGTGGTAGAAAAGAACAATACTTCAGATCAATAATTGGTTGTTTTTTTGTTCAGTGCTATTCAGAATATACTAACAATTATAGAGATAGTACTTTGCACCATCACATTGGTCAGAAGCCCTTGCTTGCTGCCATAAACTGGTAAGTGAGATCATGTAAATGGAGTCTGAAAAAAATGATGAGCAGCAGTGAGTGAAACAAGCTTCACTTCAATGTGCACATAACATTAGTTTGGAGACAATGATCAGAAAATGTGGGCACCATATTCTCCCAACAGTGCCATCTGATTGTGAATCAAAACCGCTGTGAATCTGTAAATACTAACTAGAAATATTGTGCTAGGCTTGACAATTCATTCCTTGACATGGATGAATGAAATTAAAAGCCATAAAACTGCTGGTTTGAATAGTTTTTACTAGAAGAAAAATGAATGAGTACAAATGTGAATGTTCTGCTGAGCCAACAAGAAAGTAGAGACCTTGCAAATAAGCTTTGTATGAAAGAAACTACGTAGTTTCACAGAAACGCCTTTATTTTGATGGAAAATGTTCAATTACCAACAAATCATTAGAAATTATTACACTATATATTATTGACCTGAACAAACTGTATGTGTTAACTTTATATTCCAGGAAGTGAAACCGGCCAATTAGATATCCATGGTTTCATTTTACTGAACTTGTGATTATAGATTGTCACTTATCAAGTTCATTGCTCATCTAGTTTAGATAGTGTAGCTGTTGGTTTGCAGGAACTGCTGTGACAAAAGTGGTTTTTATATGTTCTTACTTTCCTTAAAGATGTGAAAGTTCAAATTAATTTAGACTGAAATAATAAATCATCTTGAAGTTACACCTGCACTGAACTAATTATGTCCTGTGCTCTCACTTAGTGTCAACTTTCTAAGATGGCTGTCTGTGAAGGGAAATAAGCAGAGAAACCGTTTTCACAAAATGGATGTGCTACAGTTTCAGACAGGACGTGAGGAGGAACAGTCAGTACCGCAAAGGTTTTAGGGTCAGGTTGAACAATGTGAGTCACAGTTTCAAACATATTGCACCGATATTAAATACGATCTAAACAAAAACATCTGCCTTTGTCAGCATGGCTCTGTGATAACTCAAAGTACATCAAGGTTTTGAACCAGTAAACTGGAAGAAATGTTGCACTGTAAACTGTTTGTTCTCCTGTTTAGATGCAACATATGATTGAAGAGAAGAGGAAGACAAAAATCACTGCAACAAATTTATCACAGTTTTTGTTTTGATATATTTTGATATATTTTTGTCTGTGTCAAACTAAACAATTATACAAAATGACTAAAAGAAGTAAATGTAACTCACCATTCATTGTGGCAAGGAGGAAATCAACAGTGTGTGAAGTTACTCAGACTGTGTGTCTTCACTCTGTGGCTCCTGTCCTGCTTGACTTTGGTTTTGAAGAAGTCACATCGTAGGAGTGGCAGTGAACATTCGACTGGTGTTTAATATGTGACCATAGTCCGTGATAAATGTGACACTAAATAAAATTCATCTAAATAAATAAAACTGTAGGCCCAAATCTATCACTGACAAAAGGGACCCACAGCAAACAAATTAACTAATGCAATAATTAATCACAGAAACACTACACATCTGGATTATGGGAAATGAGCAAAGAAACGTTGAAGTGAAAGTGAAACAAACACACAACATATATTCAGTGATTGTCAGTAAGTCCAAGTAGTGTTGAACTGTAACTGCATCTAGAATGAGTTTACTGTCATCTGAGAAACTGCAGCTCCTCACTGCTGGAGGAAAACTGTCCTGGATCAGGATCTCGTGGGACAGAGAACCACATACAAGGTCACAATGAAGATGATTCTGACAGCTCAGAGTCTCTAAAAAGTCACAACTGATGAAAACTATAAGCAAGAGTGTGAACACTGTTAACCCACAGCCATCAAGTTCTAGCAGAGCCACAAGTTTTCTCTGATTATATGCAATATAGGTTTTGTTAAATACCTGATCTATTATTTATGACTAATGTAGTGGATAAAACAAACAGAATATAGTAACAGTTAATGCATAACATGTAATGCGGAGTAAAACACAATAGAATGGGTTATAGTGCGAGTTAAAAAGGTGCTTGTGTAACAGCAGCAAAATGCATTGACCTTTTGTTCTTCAAAATGTGTGTGCTGCCTTTCGCTTACTCAGAACATTATGCAGAGTGTTACCAAAAAGATAAGCGAATCTAAGGGTGGACGCAATTGGGAGAACAATAACTGGAAGCGAGAGATGGGAATAAAGTTAGCAACGGAGTAGGTTAGGCGGGTGTGTGTGAAAACTGAGGGAGAAGATGTGGCAGACGGACTTACTTTCTTTGCAGAGAGACTAACAAGGTGATCCTGTATCCTGCCCTTTCAATCATATTGCAATAATATTGATCAGTAAATGATTCTAGGCACTGCAGTAATTCTCTCTGTGCATTGATTTACAACCACACTAATGACATGTTATTTATGTTTCAGTATCACTACCTACATCCTGTGTTTCTATACTGTGTGTTTGTTCTTGTACTTGCTATGCAGTGAGGACCAATAATGCTTTTTTGCTACAGAGTGAGGACATTTTTGGAAAGTGAGGACACTTTAGCTGGTCCTCACATTGCGAAAGATGTTTTTGAGGTTTAGGACTTGGTTTTACGGTTCAGGTTAGAATTTGGTTGAAGGACTAGGAAGGCATTATGTCAATGAGTGTCCTCACAAAGATAGAAGTACAAGTGTGTGTCTGCCCTTGGCATTACTCACACTGTGGGGTGGAGGTCGTGGTGGTAGAGGATGTGTCAGGGCAGTGAACACCTGAGAACCATGTGTGAGCTTCACAACATGCTGGGATCTCTACAGGACTCTTTGTTGATCTAAGGCAGAAAAAGTGGCACTGTGAGTTTTATTTAAGGGAACTGTTGGTATTTTGGTATAAACCCACAGATACTTTCTCTCTTTCTGTCATATATTGTTAAAAAATAAGGAAAGGCAGAGGATTAAACCTAATGTAGGGCCACATTAGGTTTGTTTTTATTCTGTCTTTTTTCCAACTATGTGACTGGGTTAGAATTAACAACATGGACACTGAATATTTCAATCTAATAATATCCTCTGACCTTAGGCCCAGTGGGTTATAATCTATTTATATGTCTTTAATCCAACTAAATGAAAATAGTCTAAGTGTAATGGCTGATATATTCTAGTTCAAACACGGCTCTTCAACCAACATTAGAATACAGTCCACAATATAAAACATTAAACATGACTTGGTAATTCATGCAGTGTTTCATCCCCTACCTGTCTGAGATGTGAAAGCCACACTGTGGACGTTATCTCTGACAGTCCTCAGCAAACACTTCTCTATTGACAGTCACATTATCTCTAGTCCTCTCTGGACTCCAGCTGTCCCTCACCTGCCGGAGTCATTTGCAGCATTACAACTCCTTTTCATTTTCAGATGCTAGTAAATTAACTAGTGTGCTTAATCAACTGCAACGACTGATTAAAATTTAAATTGGAAACAAAATAAAACATGAACAGGACGATAAATATATATTAATATTAAAAACTGTACAATTTATTTAACTTTGAAGTGGTAGTATATCAGCAAAAGAAGTGATTGTAAATATTACATAAAATGATTAAAACTAATAATAGAACAGCAAACTAAGGAGGAAGGGCAGCATCTTAATCTTGTTAACTTTGCATTATGTTTAAATTCAGTTGTGTAAAAACATTTCTTATTATTTTCTCAATATGAAAACTGACATTTACAGACAAAAGTAGGTCTTTTAGTCAAAGATAAATATAGAATTAAGGCAATATTATGATAGAAATGTAGCAAAAATAAATGTTTAGTTTTAAAACCTAAAATAGGTTTAACTGGTACCAATTAAAATCCAGACATCAAAAACACATAATCCACCATTTTTTCTTGATCCAGTTTTTTTTTAATCTCACAAAACACATGAATCTTAGACATGAGCTCTTTTTTCCTTCTGTGCAGCTAACAATCTCACCAATTTTAAAAACAAGGGAAAAAAATGTATACATCCTTTTTTAAATCATATCTACAAAAATAAAATCAAATATGAGGACTAAGGCTTTACAGAAACAGAATTAACATATATAATACAATTGGGCCTGATCTCTCTATATTACATCAGTGAACAAGATTCTTTTTTTTTTTTTTAAAAAGGACAAAATAAAAAAGACAATGAGATGATAGTTAAGGATGTGTATGCATACAGTAGTTTGCACTGTGCAGGGACATTTTTGTGCAACATTTAAAAAAAAAAAGGAATCATTTCTAATTTTTTGTCAGTTTACAAGATAAATGTATGAAAAATAAAGAAATTGAAGTGTAGAGGTAGAAAGTGGACGTGAAAAATTCTGTAGTTAGAGGCAGGAAGAGGAAATGCATGGAAAGACGGAGAGAAATCCTGACTGTGATTCAAGCAGCTCACACACGTGACCCGATCAATCTGACACAACATTTTGTGTATGAAACTGTGGTCAGAAGCTCAGAAGCTTATTCTGCAAGTGATGACCACTTCCATAGCTTTTTTTTTCCTCTTTTCGTGGACAAAACCTAAGTTTCCTGGTCTGAGATGTTTGAAAAACAGTGCAAAGAATCCCTTCAAAGTTATTTTTACTTTGGTAGAACATTTTAAATCTTGTGAAAGTTCACAAGGTTCAGCCACACTTCTTCGTCAGCTCCTTCGGGGGGCGTAGGCTAAAGAGTGAAACCCTTCCACCGAGCTATTAAATGTCAATTTAACGGTAGATTCTGTAGCTGAGTGAAACATGTAACTGGCTCCTGGTTTGGGTCAGCTTCGGGGTACATTTTCAGTCCTGAAGCTGGTTAAGAGGTTGGGTAAGTCACTAAACCATGTCTGTTAGTATTTGAAACCAGCTCAAATAAAATGAGTTCCAGGGTGAAGCCCAGATTGATTAGAGTAAGACTGAGGCGTAAAACAAAGTTTAAACTGCTACAGGAAACAACCTCTTGATAAGAAGTTCTCCTGTTGCAGTTTAGCTATATATTTCCTGTCTAGTGTACATTAGAATTAAATCAGGACAGATGTAGTTTGACACACACACATACAAATAATAATAATAATAATAGTTAAAAAAACAACAACACTTGGCTTAGGTGTCGGCCCATGCTGGTTACATGTAATGAGTATTAATAACAATAAATTCAGTGTACTGTGGCAGACGGGCGACCATGTAGAGACAGAAATGCCGTCATGTAAATAAGATAAATAACATAATGCTATTTAGTTTAATAATAAGAACAAGATATAAACCCGTTGTATAGGAAAGGTAACCTTAAATTGGGGAGGGCACCCCGCTAATATAACGGTAGGGGAAATGCCGCAATTAGTCCCAGTTAAAGGAATAGTTTGACTTTTTGGTAAATACTCATCTTCACCTTCAGGGTTAGATAAGAAAATTAATTAATGCTTTCGCATGTTAAGTGCAGAGTTTGAGACAGTGGGTGGTTAGCTTAGCTTAGCAGAAACACTGGAAACAGCTACCTTGGCACCGAAAAAGCTCCCAAAATGAATAAGCTACATTGTGTTTGTCTGGTCTGTACGAAAGGAGGCATTTAACAGGATTTATGATATAAAGGCAGGCTGCTGGTTAAGTGTTTCCCCCTGCATCATGTTTATGCTAAGCTAAGCTAAGCTAACCAGCAGCTAACTTCATATTTACCGTACTGGTTTGAGTGTGATAATGATTTTCCCACCTAACTCTTGCAGGAAAGCTTATTTCCCAAAATGTTCAGATATTCCTTTAAATGAAGTTGCCTCATATAACTGTGCTGCAATTACAGAACAGCTGCATATAGCAGTTAGTTTTTGACATTGACCATGTGCATATACTTGACTTTTTACTGGTGTATTTCACAAGCTTTTCTTTTTTCCCCTCCAAATACAGGTCGTTCTGTGCAGAGGAGTTTGTCATTGGAGTACTACTTGGTAAGAGTCATTTCATGGCTTTGCATGTGGCTAGTGTAATATAAACAATGTATGGCAGGGTTATTGGATGGGAGAAAGGGAAAAGATGCGGGTTCACAGTATTTACTATGGTCTTTACTCACAACACAATGAAGACGGCAAAAAAAATTCACAAAGTGCAAGACAGGCACAGTCAGCGGCAATATTTGGCAGCAATATGACTAACAAACATGCTTTTGCTCAGAATTTAAGTTTGAATCTGTATTTGCCGTTTCCTCACACCTGCCGCCGACAATGCCCATCTTGAAATGAGCCCCAAAATATCCTTAATTTCCCAGACTTTGAACAACTTTACATGATCACAACAGTGAATCCGCTGAGATCCATCCCTGTGCACCTCTGAAGCAGTGCTGAAAATAAAACCTGCCTGCTTTTCAGTAGTCAGCAGTGCACTAGTGTTTCCAGAACTTAACAGTGAATCATCGGTATGTACCATGTAATGATCAGTATGTGGTACTTGTAGCTTAAACACTGCCACTCTGCTGTTTCTCCCAAGGTGGGGTGGGGTGGGGGGGTGGTCTGAGATGAGTCAAACAGTTAAACAATGCTTGTATGTGTGTGTGACATTGGTTTGCTTACCCAGTGCAAATAACCTGAATTATATAGACACAGTCCTTCGGCCAAAGTGGCATTTGAGCTCAGTGTAAAGCAACCAGTGGAGGGGGGAGGGGTCCCCCTAGAGGCGTCTCCAGTCCCTGATCTGTCCACTGTAGAGAGGCCGTGCACGACAGAGGGATGCATTGAGGGTAAAGTGCTGGGGTGATGGGTCCCTTGGATTTTCCTTAAGTCAACATTTCAAGAGGTCTGCAGCGTTGCTTTAACCTGCTCCTAAAAGCAGGACATACAACTCCTGTTCCTTCACAAATATCCAACTTGGTAATTTTTCCATTTTAACTTATTCCAACTTTTCCGTTTGCATTCTCCAGTCAACTTGTCTTCTGCTTCTTTGTTCCTTCATACTTTTTTTCCAGGTTGAGTCCCTCATGCGCTGGTCGAAGTCTGAAGTTGTACTGAAACCCCTTGTGAGTCTGACCAGCTTCCTGGTACCCCAGGAGAATAGAAAAACAAAAGCTACTATGTCCTTCTTCGATTCTGCTCCCCTGGCCAATGCATGCAGAGATGAGGGGGTGGGGGACCAGCGTGCCTGAGTCTGACAGTGGATACATGGGTATGTCCATATGCCAACAATCGTGAATAAGCAACTGAAAGTAAACCCACTCGAGCAACATCAGAATCCTGTCGACTGAATCTTGGGTTCTGCTGGACTTCCATCTTTGCCTGGATGGGTTCAAGTTTAAAAGGTTTTAATTAGTATGGAGAAGGCTGGAAACAGAATCTGCAGCCATGGTTAAAGATGCAAATTTGGTGCCAACTCACTCTCTCCTGAGCTGTGATCCAGAGACGGGGTTCTGGAGACGGCTGCCGGGCGACATGGTTGGTCCTCTGACACCTGACCGACAGAGGGCTCTCTGAGGGTTTTCAAAAGCTTGTGGTGTGCCTTCTCGATTTCCTGTAAAGGGGCGAAGATGCACAAAAGCAGAGCAAAACATCAACATCAACATAATCATATGATCTATGCTAGAAGCAAGGCTTTGTGACTGCTGTCCAGGAGAAATGGTTTGAGCTTTCTTTGTGTTCAAAGGCGGAGAGTTGGCGGACATGGCCTGAACATCAGCAGTGTTCAGACGACAATCAAAATGTTAACACAAAATCACCTTTAGCTGGTGCAGCTTGCTCATCAGCCCCTCGATCATGTGAAAAATCTCATCCACGTTTTTGATCACATGACTCCGGTGCTCAGCCTGCGAGTGGCCCTTCTCTTCTTCCTGTTCCAGTTGCATAGTCTCTGATATATTGAAGTCTGACCCGCAGGCTAGCGTTTCCTCCTCCAGCTCAACCTGTGGTGACATCACTTCCTCCAGAGGCTGAGGGAAGTGAGTGGCGATGGGGGTAGGCGGGTCGTTGAGGTCATCAGTGATGCTCTCTCCCTGCTCTGTTGGCATTACCAAGTAGAAAGTATTCCCTAAAACACAGAGTAGTGACAACAAATGCCAAGTGTTAAAGGATTTTAAATTATATTCCATACATTATCTTGCTGAATATTGAATTCTAAACAACAGAAATAAAATATCTGATTTAAAACTACAGAAACTGACCAATTTAGTCATCATTACCCTGTGTAGTGGCCTCGCCTCTCTGTTTAGATGATTGGTCGGAAGGGAAGGTGACATCATTGGTGATATCATCAGGGACAGAAGAAGAAGAAGGACCCGCAACCACAGCTATGCTCAGAGGACAGATGTGTAGAAAAGAAGACAGTGTGTGGAAGTGTTCGTAGATGAATGAAATAAGTGTTGAGGAGTGAGGGAAGACGTTGAGCCAGTGTGTCATTGTGTGGTCAATCACGAGCAGACAGAAAAAGGAAGAAGAAGAAAGTGTGTAAGAAAAAATAAAAGAATCACCAAGTGTAGAGAAAACATGCAAAGGCAGGAAGCCATTAAATAAAGAGACAGAAAGCACAGTCAGCTGAACAATCCCAAATGTTAATCTCACGAAAAACAGCACCTTATGTTTGAGAAATGGAACTTATCATGAAAATTATGGTTTAAAAATGATAGAAGGATTGATCACAGTGATCAACCGACTGTGCTAAAGAATTACAGATTAAAAAACAGAACCTTTCTGGACCCGATGTGTTACCTTTCCTTACGACCTGAACAGTGGGTTGTTCAGTGTCCAGTGGCGGAACCTGTTCAGGCTCAGACTCCCATTCCTCGGTGCAGAAGTTGAGCACGGTCTCCAAAGACTCCGGCCGCTGTCTTTCGGTGAACGAGCCCCTTTCATTGGCTGTCTCGTTGGTGGGTGTGTCATCGGAGTCGTGGCTCTGTCCATCCTCTTCCAGGTCTCGTAATATGAGCTGGCGTAGTGTTTCAACTGCAGAGGCATGACAACAAACAACATTATTTTGAAATTCTGATTGATTACTAGCCCAAAAAAACAACAATTTAAAGTGAATAAAGTCAACTGCAGTCAATCAAGTACTATAAATTGGTGCCGCAGTGTACGGCCTTCTCACCATCATGTAATGCAGCCTCTGCTACTCCAAATGTTTGTTGTTCAGCACAAATGAAAGCTTCCGACTGGTCTGTAGGCGTGTCGATGTCGTTGCTGGGGGAATGAGTCTGCATGGAATCAGACTGCTCTGCCATTGAGTTGTCTGGAGAATTTCAAACAGTTGGAGATTTTAAAAAATTAATTAAAAAAAATCTTAAAATCATAAAATCGGCTGCTAAGTGACTAAGCTTCCCCAGACATTATTACCTGCATAGACACTGCTGCCAGTGGAGACCGGGGACGCACTGCGTAGACTGGGGGAACTATAGAAAATACACACAACCCACTAAGTATTCAACAATTTGACTTCATGAGATGCCTTAAATTTCGCTTAGGATAAATAAATGTGTAAAAAGAAGAAATTCATAGAATAATGCTCAACATGTCCTAGAAGTAAAAGAATTGCCTTCATGCAAAGGACTCTTAACATAGTCCTTGATTCAATAACTTCACATTTACTCACAGCATAGAGATAGATCTGTGATTGACCAGGGGTGATGAACCACCTGCTGATGAGACGGCCTTTTCAAGTAAATCTTTCCAGCTGTAAAAACAAAACAAAACAAAAAAAAACTTAACACACCCTGCTACTGTACAGCAATGCAAAACAGATGCATAGTGGCTGTGGAAAAGGGCTCACATGTTTTTCTCTGACGGCGTCCCAGCCACAAGCTCATAGATCTGCCTCTCTGTGGTGCTGATGATGTAAAGGGCTTTGTTGTCTGGAGAGAAACCACAACATGTAGACATCTGATAAGTCACACAAGGAAGCAGAAGAGTGGTGTAGCAACGTTACATAATTTGACAAAAAAATCCTGAAAAGTTAATCAAAAACAGGGCCAATATTAAAACCAGGCTCTCCTACAGAAACTGCAGGCGTACCTGTGGCTACTGAGCGGACCAGCAGTGAGCCCAGCTTCACCACAGGGCTAAAAGAGGTTTTGCTGTCCCCGGTGGCCACTCCGCCTCCACCCAGCCAGCGGGATGGATATCGCAGCTGCAGCCGGTCATCTGGGCCCCTCTGAAGAAGGACAAGGCAGTCTGACAGCAGCAGCGCTTGGATCTCTAACGGAAGGACAGAGAGACATGATTAAAGGGTGAACCCAAGGTGACAAGACTGAATGGAGCAGAGTCTCACATACTGACCGATCTGTTTATCTTTGCTAACTTTCCAGGTGAGAGGACCTTCATGAATCATTCTCTTTGTGGTGAGATCCAGACTCTGTACATAAAACAGAACAAATTCAGCATAAAGAATGTTTGGGATCCTTTATTACAATATAAAAAATTATGAACAACAAAGAAGAAAAGGACAAAGGTTAACCAGCTGAACTAGTCTGTCACCTTGAACTGGGGAGCAGCGTCCAGCCTGCGTTGGTATTGGCTGAGACGCTGCCGGTGTTCCGTTTCCCCTACGACCTCGTTGACAGTCTGCAGTATCCCTCGGCAACAAGCTTGGGCACGCTGGAGCAAGGGCAGGTCCGACGACCCAGCTGAGGAGAAAACCTTCTTAAAAACACAGTTTTTGACATGCTTTGTGTTGATGCTATACTGTCTATTTCTTTCCTCACCTTCTGTGTGTTTAATGATGTTGTCCAGCAGCAGCGGGTACTTGGTGAGTCTCTGCATCTCTGACACAAGCAGGTCTTTAAGCTGCAGCCTCCGACAGTGAGGACTCGCCTCACACTCCTGTCAAACGTCAGACACATCAGTGTATAACTATGTATGTTATGTGTCTGAATATGATTAAAACCTCAAGTGTGTATTATTGTGTGTGTATTTGTGTGTGTGTGTGTTACACAAGATAAGGACAGATCTATGAAGACACAGATACACAAACCTTCTGTGTTATCTTCATCTTTTATGGTTATTAACATCCAGGTAGATAAGGATTAAACACTGGTCTTTGACAATCCAAAAGAATATGAGAATCTAATACACAGTCAGCTACAGCTGTTCATGCTACTAGTGTTGATAATATTAACAACCCGCTTAGTAAATTTTCCAAAAAGATGTGTTCATTTAATAAAAGTGCAATAAGAAGTGTGTATTATTGTGTGTGTGTGTGTGTACCTGGATGATGTGAGCGAAGCGAGGGTCTTTACGCTGTTTGTTCTTGATGAGCTCCAGAGCCTGAGACTGCTGGCTACACAGCTGGGCCGCCTGCTCCTGGAACTCGTCGCCAGCGGGCCCTTCAAACTGACACAAGCACACTCCCAAGTTAACATATGTAAACATTCACATAACTATAAACACGAGGTGATAAAGGAAATAAAACGATGGAAGGTGAAACTAATGGCAGGGATTAATAAACTCACCCTGGCCAACATGACGTCTCCGATGTCCTGCACAATGGGAGTTTCTCTTCGCTTCTTCATTGTCTCACACAGACTTGCTGCAAAAACACATTGTAAAAGCAACATCATGGCATTAAAATAACCTTAATCTTAGTACTAAGTAAATATACACTCTACAAAGATCTCTTTCTAATGGATATTATCCATTCTGTTATTTCATAAAGTACCAATAAGGTAATACTTAAATCTGCCCATAAAACAAAGTGAAAACACCCAAAGTACAATCAATGTGCTGTGCAAACAGAACCTCCAGCTGAAGAAGCAAAAGTGAGATTCTTACAAAAAAGGACACAGTTATACAAAAAGTATCATATTTGAACACACACTTATTAAAATTTTATGTATTAATCTGAAATTATCTTGAAAATTGCCTTCTTCTAACTGATTAACTGGGTCAATTCATTAGTGCAGAATTTCAGATTTTCCAGACGTGCGTGTAAACACCCTGACATTCACATCCACCCTCGCAAATACACAAACTGACCGTGGAGCTCGTAGACCTGGGGCAGGTTGGGGAAGATGCAGGCCAGCTCATCCGAGTTCAGCACAGACCTCATCTTCTGGAAAAAGACCTGGTCCAGGACCCTCAAGGTGCGTAGGTGGGACACCTCAGTGGTGAACAGTTCTGAAGATGATGTACAGTGAGGAACAAACAGAAAGGGTAATCAGTGTCTGACTTAATATATTTAGGAGAAAACGTGAGTTGTTATGCTGTTTAAATTGTAGAATCACTTGACATGCTGATGTAAAAGAGAAAAATGACTGCAATTGTTTTTAATAATGATTGTCAACTATAAAGATGTTCTCCAGACTTCTGTGGGGTTACATGAGAATTAAAATCATGGCTGGTAATTTGCCACCAGATATTATGATGAGCCTTGAAACTGAAAGATGCTGAAAGCTGGCACCTCCTTCCTATGATGCTGACAATTTCGCCTACAGGCTTGCATTTGGGAAAGATGTCTAATCAATTTATTTCAATTTCCTCTCATACAATTACATCATCACTGATCACCGAATAGCATCTATGGGGACATGGAAACTCACCTGCGTCTAGACCGAGGGGTGTATGGGGGTGTAGGGTTCTCTAGAGACCTGAGTTGGAGAGAGAGATGGCATTGAGGTGAAAACCTACACTTCCAGGGGCACTGTGGGGGTGCTGAGTTATCTGGTGTGCAAACCTTTTACCAAGGGGGGTGTTTAGATTCCTAGAGGTTTATAAAATTGATCCACTCTGTCAGATTTCAGATAATTCTCTTTTCAAGTTCTCTTTCAGTGAAAAACTCCTGAATCTGTACCGTGCAGAGCTGCTGGATGCAGATGACGAGGTACTGTGCTGCAGCAGCCTGAGACCCGGCCCTTCCCTCTCCTCGCCACAGTCCTCCATGTCCACATCGCTACGAGAGCGGGGGACAGACTCTGATCCTGAGGCTACACCCCGCCGTCTGCCTTCTCCCTGAGCCTTCAATGACTCGCTGCGTGCCAGACGTACCGAGACCATAGGGCTGGTAGAGGAAACATTAAGCATTTTTACTACATCAGTATCAAACACATTCAGTGACTTTCTGTACCACCCAACTGCTACACAAAGACGTAGTTAAAGAGTTCAGTAAAACATCAGAGTTACCTGCCCATGCTTTCTTCTCCCAGGCTGCTGGAGGAGAGCCTCTGGGGGTCGGCAGCATCGCCGCCCTCCTCTGTCGGCTCCGCTTGGTTCTCAAACTGCTGAATGATGTTCTTGACACTACCAGAACGGGCTGCACACACAGATATTACTTAGTTGTACAAGATGATAAAACAGTACACATACTTTCAGTAGAAATGGCTTGGTGTGTGTAAAATGAGGTAGAACATATGCAATCTTCAAAGTACGTACATACAGAATGGGTACGTTTGTTGAAAAGCAAAATTTAACTAAAAAGTAAAAAATAAATACCTTCGGTTGGTGACAATGGGGCATGGAATGCTACAAAATTAAAAACTGAAAATTAGAACAATAAGATACTGAGGGCAAACAAAGAACAAAAAGAAATCAACACTGTCAGACAAATACAAAGAGCGAGTGTGTGTACGCCTCTAATGTGCTCCGATAGTCAGCTGATAATGTGACAGATGGGCTTACAATGGAATTTTAAATACTCATAATGTATTGATGAGACCACAGGATACTTTGAATGAACCTGTTTAAACAATCACTACTGCACGAGTGCATTAGCATTCTGCCCATGAAGTGGGTTTAGCTCTCATAACAATAACAATAATGATTTATAATGAAAATATTTCTTTTCTTTCCCAGTTCTACTCATGATGTGTGTGTGCATGCTTACTGGAATGGGATGTGCTCCGAGGTTTGCCGATGTATTTCAGGATGGGATTTCGTTTTTTTTCCTCCCCATCTTTCTCTTTCTTGATACCACTCAGCTATGGAGAGAGGAACCATAAAGTCATATCATATAATCAATATACTTATCCACCTTCTTATTTATTCACTTATTAATGCCTTAATATTTTATTAGCTATACCACTATATTTTTGTTTATCCAAGCCTGTTGCCCTAGTGTGATATTTAAATGTCCATATAGACCCTGTGAGTCAATTTGTCCTTTTTTTGTTTTTAAGAAAGCCAGCCACTTCTCCTTCTCTATGCTCAGACCAGGGAAGACCTTGGAGTCTCGGACCCTGTGAGTCAATTTGTACCTTTTTCGTTTTTAAGAAAGCCAGCCACTTCTCCTTCTCTATGCTCAGACCAGGGAAGACCTTGGAGTCTCGGAGCTTGATACCAGAATGACGTAGATATAGGAGCACTGCTGACGCCAGAGGTGAACTGAGGGAGAGAAACAAACGGGATATGGAAAGAAAAAGCATGGTGGGGAGGAAATGTGAGGAGAAGCGGATCAGAAGGGGAGAGGTGGGAGACAAAGAAAGGTGTGACGAATAAAAGTAAGCAAATCATTTAAGGCACATGCTGTTGTTAAATTGTATTCCACTCTGCAAGTCAATCTTTTTCTTTTACCTTCTGTCCTCTTCGTGCTTTGATCTGGAGCAGGAACAGAAAGAGAAAGGCTGTTAACTCCCTCCGCAACAAACAGCAGGCTTTCAAAGAGGCATTCAGATTCATTCCTTTATGTAAAACCCACTTCACTCAGGTGCAAACACTGGCGTAAGAAACTAAATGTAGTGTCTCAGTCGTGTGACGGAAATCAGCGCGCGTGTGTGTGTGTGTAAAGTCAAAGGCATAAATGTCATGTGGTTTCCAGTGATGACCTTTGTTATGACAGTCTGGTGAGCTGCTTTGGAAGAACTATTTTATTAGGCCCCAGACAACTGATCCTGGTTCAGCACATGCTAAGGTAAACACATTTAACAATGGAGAAAATTAGTTTTAAGTTAAAGCTTTGGATTTGGAATCTTCTGGGCCACAGCTTTGGTCTTTATTTAGGCACAAGACTAAAAATTCACTGATCATTTCCCAAAGTAAAAAAAGATCCTCTCTGTTTTGATATCACTTAAATAAAAGTGAGTCTACTTGTCCCAGAAATTAAATCTTGCCCTCGCCTTGAACCTGAACTTGCTGCAATTTTATGGTTTTTGGCAAGTGGAAAACCACAATGCAATGGCATAATTAGAATAAGTCACAGTCTACTCACAGTATCTCCCAGAGGGCGGTGACTTGTCTGTCCACCACCTGCCTCTCTTTGGCAGGGTCTCCATCAAGGTGTTGCAGGTCTCCTTCTCCAAACAACGAGCCAAGACCCATCAGCTGCTTGTTCCTATAAAACAGAGAAACACAAGCCTAGCAGGTTAATATTTCTGTCAAAACTGACTTTTACAGTCATTATTCTGCCTAAGTACAATCAAGTCAAAATTGACTTTTATAGTCATTATTCTGCCTAAGTACAATCAAACAGCAAAACCTAAATGGGAGACAAGCCCTAACTTTCACTGAATGACTGCTGGTATTGATGTTATTCTATGTTACAGACAATAAAATTTTCTGAACCTGTAGTTAGTGATGGCTGATCAAGGCTTTGTTGAAGCTTTGACACGACACTTTATCAAAAAATGGTTTATTACTGGAGGCTTCAATGACACACTGCTCTAGTAGGACATCTAGTGGTCAATAAAATGAAGTGCAATCGAGACGAGTCATTTATTGGTACATGGATTGTTTGGGATTTGATTCGCCATGCACATTCCTGTTCGACTACACTACATGGTTGTATGGTGTCAAGCTGACACAATAAAATATAAAATAAACATGAACTTATGACATTGACCATGTTTCTTACCTGGCACGTCTGACTGTAGTAGACTATAGCTATATACTTAGCCTGACATTTTGTGCTATGAATCATATTCCATCCTAAAACAAGCCTAAATAGCCCATTGTTTAAAGGATGTTGAATAGTTGTGTTCATTAGGCTGGATGGCAAATGTGATCTCATTTCAAATGTTTAATTGATGAGCTCAGTTCTGTCCAACACTATATTGTTGCAAGACTATGGTTTTCATGAGGCACCACACGTTCCAATCACATTACTTCATGGTCATATCATCTATTTAAGTAACGTTAGCTACTACAATCCATGATCCTTCATCAACACTCACCAATGAGCATGTTACAGTGCTTATATCAACTGTTTTCATGTACTCCGAGTATCCTGGTTTAAGAATGTTATAGAATCTTTTGTACTGAATGCAACACTGTCAAACCAAGTCTCTGTCAATTCAGTCTCTATTTGCTTTGAAGGCTCAGCTCAGCTCTCCCAAAGAGCCGAGACAACCAAGCCAGCGACAGGGTTTCGATACCAAATGAAGCAGTAAAGTGGTTCATACGTCACTAGTCACGTGACCAAACCACGCCTCGGCACAGTGGTTCAATACAACTGCACATGTGTCGGGGCCTCGGGTGTCAGAGGACCATCACTACCTGTAGTCTAGTATCTGGTCCTGGATGTCTGGCAACACCTGCTGCTGCAGCTCCGACAGGGGTCCTCTGATGTCTTCCTGAGCGTGAAGTCGGCTTTCTGAAGGGACGACGAAGAGAGAACATGGAGTCGGTGAATACAGCATTTCTCAAGCTGACAAACACTACAGCCACAGGATTTCAACATAAATCTGTCACAGTAATGCCAGTCTGCAGGTTTATGGATGGAGGAACACCTCATAATTAATAAAAAGAACCGATTCTCTCTATAAACGTGAAACTAATTTAGAAAGCCACAACTCAACAAGCCTTTAGTTGTCTCTTACCAATATCTGTAAGATACTCCTCTCGCACTTTGATTTTCAAGGGCTGTAAGGAGGGGAAGAGGAAAAGGCTTTTTTTTATATTACACGCACTAAAAATTTACTCAACTTGACCAACTGCATGTCCAACTGACCACTTAGTAAACTCAGTTAATAAATAAAAATGAAGGATACTAGTAAGCAAAGCCCTGCTGATTGGATAATCAATAAGACAGCAAAATGTATCTACTTACACTCTGGGGGTGGGGTGCAATACCTTGTTACGCTCAACTTAGTTTGAATGAAATGTGTGGCAGTGTGAATTCGCTCTAACTTTTAGAAAAAATGACAGCCCTGTGACATATGGAGAAATGCAAGGATAAAATGATTAAGACACTTTGATACATACAGCATCTGGGTCCAAGAAATGGGAGCAGATCTGAGGTGCAAGTGCGCGGGCATCTTTAGGACTGGAGCCCAGGTAAGCCTCCACAGACAGGTAAAACAGCTATTGTAGATGCATACAAGTGTAAGCAAGCAAACCCAAAACTTCATTTGATTACCTTTGCTTAAACTTCACAGAAAATATAACCAATACTGACCAGAGGGTTGGGATCCAGAAGCTGGGTAAAGACGTATCTCATTAACACCATCATGTGGGCCGGTCGTGACTTCAGCAACTCGATGTCCTGGAATGGACCGTCCATCTGAAAGGAAGAGGAAAAATACAGTACAAGTCACTGAATGGAGAGAGGGAACTGCAGGAAAAAGGCAGAAATATATTCAGGTGGCAAAAGAAAAACAGCTGCCAATCATATCAATGTGGATCAGTTTGCTGGATACACACCAAATGTCCTCCTCACCTCATTAAATGCATAGCCATACTCCTCTTCATCATCTTCCTCAGGGCCGATGATCTGGGCCTTTCGAACCTTTGAACATGGACGCACAAACACACCAATTTCAAGAAATAGAAAACACCTGGTCAGAAGCTGGAGGACACTGACAGCAGGCCAGGCTCTTTCTCTTCCTCTGTCTCAAGTTTCTACAGTTCATAGACTTGTTTCTTGCAGTGTGAATGGAAGCCGTTTTGGGTAACTGCAGACCAGAGGCAACTAGACAATCTAGTAGTCACCCTGACTGGTGAAACAAAACCTGTGACTCTCTGAATAACTGCCATGACTAAAAGTTTCTTTTGGTCCAATATAACCTTAACAGAAGTGGGCAGTAATTGTATGTATTTCATCTTAAAATAATACATGTGCATGTGTCCATCTCACCGAATCGGACAGGGCGTGTGTGCTGGAGATCTGCCGTCGGTATAGGGGGATCCTGAAGGAGAGGGAGGGGGAGGAGTGGGGACTCTCAAAGGCCTGGGGAGGGGGAGGAGGGAGGGAGGACGAAGGGGACGGCATGAATGGGACAATCACATACACAAACACACACATACAATCACACCCATTTATGAATAAACATGACCGTGCAGCATCACCTCTATGTCTCCTTCACTTGAATCCATCGATAGTCGACCTGCCAAAACACAAAACGGTTTCAAACCATGTAGACTGTGACAACTGGTTACATTTGTATGAAACCTCCCTTTACTCTACCAGCCTCTGTGTATTTTATAACTACTCAATAGACTAATCAATCCATGATCTATGCAAGCTAAATATTAACAGTAATGTGAATATTTGCAGACTGAACAGAAAAAATATAGACACACAAACCTTCTCCTGCTTTGACATAGCTGGTGACTGATTCCGACCTTGTTCCCTCCTGCAGAACCATATTCAAGTATCGGTTAAATTTCACCGCTGGCTTTAAAGGTAACATATACATGACATCATTAACACTGGATTAAGTGGTTGTTGGGCCAATCCTGGGCAACAGAGCAGATCTGAATTTAAAACCGTCAACTAAAATTTGACTAAGATTTGAGGCATGGCAGTTGAACATATATCACAAAACAGATTCCTTTTCCGATGCTCTATGCCAGTATAAGAAGGCATTATATTTATAATGGAGTTTTTAGTGAATTAGAAGGTGTGTAAAGGAGCCAAACAGCCATATCTCTGTACCTGATCTTGCTGAATCTTGACCCTGACTTGGTGCGCTCTCCTCTTTGCACTTTCAATCCGCTCCTCCAGTGATGGTGACGGATTCCTCAACCACTCCTCCATAAAGTCCTGTAAATCAATCAGGTCTGGTCATAAACAGCAGATTTAAGCTACAAAACACCAATGATGCAGATACTGTGATGCAAAAAGGAGGTTATGTAGAGCTACAGTCTATAACGTGAGACTTGATGGATCCTTGCATGGCAGTCCTGTTTTCAGTGCATCTACAGAAAGATTCGGTCACAGATCAGATATGCAGTGGGTAGGGCTTCGGTTCCAAGGACGGCTTATTTGTTTATGCGCGAGTGTGTGTACCTGCAGTTCAGCCTCTTCCTGCTCCAGCATTTTCCTGAGTATTTCAGTAGCGTGTTTCTGTACTTCTGGGTCCTACAAAAAAAAAAGAAAAACTAACAATTGTAAATAACTGTGATGCTAATGATGCACATGTTTTGAAGCTTTGTTTGCTCAGTATTGATGCATGCTGATAGGAAATCAGTGAGGTAACATCAATATCATTTCACTGACCTGCAGTGGTTTGGGTCCAGTGATTCTTTGGGAAGGTGCACTGCCCAGTCCTGAGGGCAGGGGTGGAGGTGGAGTGGGTGGAGTGTCCCCACCCAGAGGTGTTCTTTGATTGGAGGTGAGGTCAGTAGGCAGTGGCTCCAAGGACAAAGAGGTGGCTGAAGGAGGCGGTCCTTGTAGTGTCATAGCTACATACGGTCCAGCTATATAGGATGTGGAATCAGGTTTAAAAAAAAAAAAAATTACAGAAACAAACCAAATATGTAAAATAAAAACAAAGATTTCTACAGCTCAGTTATTTCAAACTTACATTTGATGAGCTTTACCACCTCCTGATGGGACATGGAAGACACCAGCGAGCCATTAACCTGAGAGAGGAGGGGAGAAAGATGGAAAATTAAACTGGCAACACTAAAAACAGGAACAAAGCAAACATCTCTGAGATTCAGTGTAGAACAGATAGAGGTGAAAACCTTTATGATCCGGTCCCCTTCTTGCACCCCAGCCTTGAATGCTGCACCGCCTGTAAGGATGAATATGACTACACTGAGCGTCATGTAAACTAACAAATTTTAAGTCGTATGTCATGTTACTACAGTCGACTCATTTATCATTCATCCATGTTATCTAGGTCATATTATGTATAAAAATGATTTCCTAAATAAGCTGCTTTCGTGGTCTGTATGTAGTTTTGTGAATTAAGGCAAACATTTCCATGTATTTTTGCTATCATTGTGTATGATTTTTTTTTTAATACCTGGGAACGGACCTTAATTTTCTACACTTTGTCACACGGTTTTGTCAGTTCACACTTTTCTTAGCAATCTGTTTGTAAAGTAACTGGATGTGCATGATGATAAAGAAAGAAAGTCACTTTCGGCTTTTCCCGTTTAGGGGTTGCCACAGTGAATCGTCACATTGACGACTTGCATGTTGACATTTGGCACGTGTTTTACGCCGGATGCCCGGCCTGACGCAACCTGGACTTGAACCTGGGGCGCCGCGGCGAGAGCGCTGCGCCTTAACCACTAGCCTACCAGGGACAGCTTTGATGTGCATGATGATAAAATTAGCAAATCAACGATGCACGTGTCTCACCTGGTCGGACATTCTGTACTAGCTTGATTCTCTCTCCACACACCGTGAAGCCGAAGCCAAGTTGGTCCTTTTGCACGACCACACATCTCTGGACAAGACCGGGACCTGGGAGGCAAAAACAGGAGGATGTAAAAGGCAACTGGGGGACATTACAGGAGGTTAAATCGATCCTGAAACACTCACAATTACCCTTACTCTCAACGGAGATGTCAACTGTTGGCTCCCTCTGCTGTGTGGTGGAGGATTTGCGCTCTGAGTCCCCAATGGTCAAACTGCTGAGCCTGGGTTTAAGGGATAAAAGAAAGAGAGAGAGAAAGAGAGATGCTCAACATAAAAAACACTAAACAGTTTGTTTTAGAGAACTCGTGGAAAGTGAGGTTGAAGGTTGGAGTAGGAGCAGGGAGATACAGTGGGTACGGAAAGTATTCAGACCCCCTTCAATTTTTCACTCTGCTGCTTTGACAGTAACCTCCCACTCTCGCCAGCCTTTTTTTCTGTTCTAACTTGTTGCAGCAGAGTTTGATAGATCAGCAGAGGAAACAGATGCTGTTCCTGTCCCCACAGAGATGGTTGGTGGTCGCTTCCGTTGCCTGAGCTGCTTCGCATACGCTGCTGTGCTGCTTCTTGGGGTCTGCGTCCTCAGTATGTACACCTCATAGACTTTCACTGTTAGGAGTAATTTCTTTTTATCTGCTGTGCACTGTTAGAATAGAGCATATAGGTCAAGGCTGGATGTGTGCATGTCATCTTGGCATTTGAAATGTTTGTTAAAAAAAGAGTCTATAAGGGTTTTTCTCATGTTTTTGAAAATGCAAGACAACAATGTTTAAATAGCACTAATAAAAATAAAAGTGGCTTCAAAGCTATAGCAGTAATACAAATTTGGGAATCGGGATATACAAGTTGGAGGAAACAAATCCAGGCATACAAACTTCAGCGTTCAAAAACCCAAAGCTTCTGTCCTCATAAGAAAAGTTAGCGCAATTTGAGTTCCCCACTTTGAGTATTTTTTTCCATGCAAATGATTGTATGCTGTGGTTCTTTATTTGTGGATATATTTAGCATTTTTTGGTGCTGGTTGGTGACTGTGTGTTTTCTGCTACATCTGCTTGGACGTTTCATTCTCAATGCAACTCAGTGATGAGTCATCATTTCTCTTTCTATAGCTTCCTTATTAATTTTAGGAGAATTGGTTATATTGCAATACATTAAAATATGCCAATATATTCTTATGTAGTGGTACAGTATATA